TAGCACACGACGTTACGCCACACGCAGGCATTCAACACCCTGAGTAACCGATTGTAACCGATTATCGGTTACTTGGGTCCAACCGATGATGATTACAAAATTACAACCGATTGACAACACTAGTATCAGCATTGCTTAACACTGCTTCCAATCACAGCAGGTTCTACAACTGACTTCGGTTATCATTCTCTCTCTCTCTCTCTCTCTCTCTCTCTGGCTCTCTCTCTCTGGCTCTCTCTCTCTCGCTCTCTCTCTCTCTCTCCCTCTCTCTCTCTTTGTCTCCGACTCTCTCTCTGCCTCCCCCCTCTCTCTCTGTGTGTCTGCCTCTCTCTCGCTCTATCCTAACCACTCTCAGTCCTCTCGACTCTTTCCTATACCTGACAACGCTCCGTGTTTGTTTCATCTCAGAGCATGTTTGACACGCCGACGAGCAATAAGAGGAAGCACGTGCTGCCCTCCCCTGAGCCGTCACCAGAGGGCGCCTACATCGGCCAGCACTCGCAGGGCATCGGCGGCCACTACGCCGACTCCTACAACAAGCGCCGGCGGATGATGGACAGCGCCATCTACCAGTAGGTGTGCCGACCCCGAGCGCAGACGCGGTCGCACCGGGCGACCGTACGAGCACAGACGCGGTTGCCTGGGCAACAGGACGTGGGCGGACGCGGTCGCCCAGAGCGACTGACCGCACGTGGGCTCGGCTGCGGTCAAAAGATGCTCGCGTTTTTGGCCGGAGAGCGTGACGCGGGACGCAACTTCGGCTGTGAAGGCGGCGCGGGACGTGACGCGTGCCGCCGCCCCCCCAGAAGAGAGAGAGAGAGAGAGAGGAGAGACGTGCGTACTGTCTAGCTTAGCTTGCCAACGTAGCGTGGTATCCGTCCTCTCTATGGCAAACTTTCCCCTGTCTGCATTGCGCATGGGACATGTCTAGCAGGGCGCGTTGTCGTAACTGCATCTTGGATTGGACGTTTGTTGGAGATGCGCAGAGGGGGAAGGTTTCCGTGGGGAGGTGTGTATAGCATGATGCATCACTCACCACAAGTGTCCTTACGAACGTCTGCTAAACAGAGGTGTGTGTACAATTTCAATGTCGTTCGTGGTCTCTGTGTCGTGCGACTCCAGCGGGAGAATTTAGACGTAGAATCGTGTAAATTGCGCCGTTCGACGTTTTGGCCGTGTGACACGCGCCGCACGCAAAAGAGAATTTTGCGGATCAGCGGTATCTGAAAGCCCGGCGGCGCGTGTTAGAGTTAACTCGTAACTAGTAGTTGTAGTTATGAATAATTTTTGGGGGGGGGATTACGTGATGAAGATTATGACGAATTTGTTTAATTCTTAACTTCGGGACAAATTGCAACACTTTTTTTGCTATTCTGGTTTTCAAGTCGGCTAGTTTACTTTTTTGATAGGAAGTGCCACACGCGAAAGACGTTTGTTGTAAAGTGTGCCGGAATATATATATATATACCGATTTGGTAACGAATAAAATGTGTTTTTTAACAACGTTGATTCTTTAGCCACCTGGGATGCGCACTGCCACGCACTTTAGACGCAGTAGAGAAAGGTGACGCCACTTTCCACGTGTTTTCACAACTATTGTATCCAGTTCGTTTACACTTATCTTTCGTTTATTGCCGGTTTGCGTGCGTTTCAGATAGATTCGACCCTGGCGTACGTGGGTGCGTGTGTACGTGTGTGGGATCAAGTAGGGAGTGATATGTACCATATATGTAGCCACTACCTTACAGAACTACCCTGCTGGTTTTGTATTTCGGTAATGTTATATATATTTTAATGCAAAAAAAAGAAATAAACAGTGTAAAATCAACTATTATCATGTAACATGACTACTGTGTCTGTAGATTTAGACTAATAGCTCTTAAAACGTAACGGTACTCACTGAAAATGGTAAATTATGCTGTGTTATGCGCTCGTCTGTCTGATTTATGGGCGCAGCCATTTTGAATGACGTCACGGATCCAGGAATAGTAGTACCGCACTGAAGGCTATTTTGTGGCACAAAAAGGTGTTACTGACAAATGCCTATTTGTTACGGAAAAATCCAATAATTATTACTGATGATCATCAGATGGGGTTGGCAGGTCTGTGTAACTATACACTATTTTGTAACAACGATATTTTTACAACAAATTGCTTCCTATTTTAGCCAGTTATCTCTCATTCTTTCTTTTCTCTTTCTTATTTTTCTTCTCACTCCATCCCTCCTCCCCCCTTCCTCCTCCATTCTCCCTCCTCCCTCCTCTGCTCCCTCCTCTTCTATTCTATCGTAACAATACGATCATAACAACTTCACAGGTGAACCGGCCGAATGGTGAACATCTCCTCAATGGCTTGCTGAAATCCGTCGGTGGCGCCACCAAGCACGTGGCGACGATGCCCGGTATCATCAACCCCCTCGCCGGCATGCCGCCCCCGCCGGTGCCGCCCCCTAGCGGTGTCGACAACCTCGTCGCCACGCAGCAGACGCTCATCAACCTGCTGCTGCAGCAGAATGCGATGCAAGGAGGCGGTGGTGGCGGCGGCGCGGGCGGTGGCGCCCCCGCTGCGCACCTCCTCGCCTCGCACCTCGGCGGCGGCGGCGGGTACGCGCACGCCGCGTGTCTGCCGGCGGAGGTTCGTGCGATGATGGCAGCGCAGCAGCAGCAGTCCTCCTACCCTGCCGCCGTCTCCGTCGCCGCGGGGGGGCAGGTTCACGGCCCCGGCGGCGACGACGGCTCGGAGCCACTCGTATCCAGCATGGAGATGATGGTGAACCGCGCGGCGGCGCAGCAGGCAGGGGGCGCCGGCGGGCACAAGGTCGTGATGAGCCAGGCGTTGAGCGCGTACACGATGCAGCAGGGACACACGATGCAGCAGGCGGCCGCCCTGCAGGGGGCGCTGTCGCAGCTGGGCGGAGCCAACGGACTGCTGCCGAACGGCCAGGTAGGACCGAGCGTGGAGGGAGCGATGTGGGGGAGGGTGTGAGAGAGATGGGGGAGGATGAGTGAGAGATGGTGAGAGACGGAGATGGGGGTAGGAGTGCCGCGTGAGTCACAATCACGAACATAGCCCTTTAATCACAGTGTATGGTACCATGGAACCGTGTGCGATGTATGACACGCTCTTCGCACCTCGCCTCACATCCTATTTCATTCACTCACCAACATTAGATAGAAATCAACGGTTCCGTATGGGCTTCCTCACTACCTTACGAAATGTATCCGCCAGTGTTCGGACGATGTTGACACTATGGTCGAGTACGATTTCTTCTTTCTGCCGATGTAGACTTACTCCGGCTATGACCCTTGACGAGCTCATTGTCAGAAGGATAGTCCTGTGCAGTACCAAGAGCGAAATCGAACGCCAAAACATTTAAGACGTTGGTCTTATTTTGCTAACGAATGCGAATCGATCGCCTGCGCCGAAAACTGATATCATCATAGTGTTTCACTCACATCTGGGGTTAATTACTGGTCGTTGGCCGTCAGTGAGCGAAAGAGCAGGAGGATGCAGAGTGCACTGCGGTGGTGCAGCGGCCAAGGCTCAACCCTGGCACATGCTAGATGCTGTGAGGGTTCTAACCATAGAAATAATATCTAGTGTTATTTCTATGGTTCTAACCTCTGCACATCTGAGATATCGGCGCAGAGTTGCGAACACGGCGCGCTGCTGTACTCGTTGTCTATTGGTAATAAAAGCGTGCATCTGTAGCCTGAAATGCCGTACTGTTTGTTATATGCTTATTCTCGATCTATCTTCATGTGTGTGAGCGCGCGCGCGTGTGTGCGTGTGTGTGTGTTATATTCACCCGGCTTTATCTCTCACTGCCATATATATATATATATATATATATATATATATATATAATATAATATATATATATATGATCTACATATGAATACAGACCGGTGTTGTATTACTGTCTCTCCGTCAGTGGTGTCGACCACGTTGTTGTGTTATACAACCTCCCTCACCCTCTCTGCACCCCTACTGCGGTGCTTCTAATGTAAATATCGTTGTTTCGTTTAATTCGTGCCTAGAACAGGAGTTGCTGCATGCTTGTGTGCGTGAGTAGTGGTGTGGCCTTCAGAATGCCCACCGCATACCTTATTGCAATGTAGCAACATCTGCCGTAACTGCACGTGCAATATATATAAATCAGGAGTAGATAACTGGTAGTTATAGTAGGTAGGTTAACTGATAGTAGGTAGGATAGTTATCTAAATAAAATGGTTCTAGGACAAATGCCCCCCGGACAATCACCCCCCGGACCAATTACCCCGGGACAATTACCCCCATGCCATTCACCCCCCCCCCGGACAATTACCACCCCGGCACTTTACCCGGACAATTACTGCACTTGGTGTTTATTATTCATTGTTGAACAGGGATACAGGGAGGAGGTCGAGGAGGAGGGAGGGTGGTGGAGGAGGAGGTGGAGAAGGTGGTGGAGGAGGGCGCCTCTACCTCCTCCTCTCCTCCTCCATCACATTTTCCCCTCCTCTTCCTCCTCTTCCTCCTCCTCACCACCACCCTGCACCTCCTCTACCTGCTCTACCTCCATCCTCCTACTCCTCCTCGTCCACTACCTTCTCCGTCGTCCTCTAATCCTCTTCTAAATGTCCGGCGGGTAAAATGTTCCAGGGGTATATTGCTCCGGAGGGTAAATGTCCGGGAGGCTGATTTTTTTGCGTGGTGAATGGCATGGGGGTATTTTGTCCTGATACCATAATAAATATAATATATATAGGACACCAAGTCGTCGGCAGAGGGCAGCAGCAGTGTCCGGTGATAGCTGCCAGGTAGCGTAGCGTGCCTTTAAGTTTAACTACACAAAACACATTCAGTTATACACCAATAATAATGATTATTATTATAAAGTTTATGTTTTGTTCTTTTTTTTATGGTTTAACTGGCCGTTCAGTAAGGTTATCAACTGTGATATAATTAAAGGCCAAGGAATAGAGAGGAATGATTACTGTATTATATGCCATGATAATATTTATGTAGTTGTTCCATAACTGTAATTTATAAGTTCTACGTCCTTTCATCTCCTGTAAATATTTTTGAAGATAATATAAAAACACATTTGTATGAAAAGAATAGCACGTCTTGATGAAACTCAAATTCGGTCGCGAAATTAATACATTTATTCTTACCAATTTTTAGCTCGCCTTGACATCGTCACTGAGCTATTTGCCATGGGTCGTCGTCCGTCGTACGTCGTCCGTCCGTCAACATGTGGCTACGGTCACGGATAACTCAGGAACTGAACTGTTTGACCCACATTTTGAAATCGGGTATAGTTGTTTACTGCTATGGCTCCCATATTGAACGTCCTATTTTGGGAGCACGCCAGTCGACGTACCTTCGAGCCATGCAATTTTTTGGCAAAAATGGAAATTGTCATTAGTCAGTTCAGGTTCAACGGATTTTGCTCATTTTGGATGTGAATGAATATTAGGGCTAGGGGTTTTGATATTTAAAAAAAATTATGCAAAATTAGGTAGCGTTTTGGCATTTATATAGCATTATTATAGACACGCTGACAGATAACAAACAGTCGTGATGTCACACTCGTCTGGTCCGTTTTACAAGATTTCATTGACAATATCTTTAATGCAAAATTGGTATTTTCCCGCTCCACCCTGCCGATAAAAAGTCTATTTAGAGTAAAGTTTTTACAAAACACTGTCGGAACGCAGCATAACCTATTTATTTCGAACGCCATATCGCTAAGAAACATCAAAGCTGGTATAGCGCCCAACTACCGTCACAATTGTGATTTCATTTTGGTTTATAAATTATTATTGCGATATACAGATGGCAACCGTGTGCTACCGCTCTAGAAAAACTCATACGAAGTAAACACTTCCATGCAACCAATTAACCTTTGACAAAAGTTGTGTTATGGGCAGGAAACACCATTGTCACGGGTATATAGCAGCTACGTGGAATAAGCGTATCCTCTCCATCTTACACGTTACACATCGGGAGCTCCGCTTTTAGGCAGTGCCTAAATCTGAATATTATAAAAACGTTAAATGGCGATCATTTAGGTGTAAGCCATCACTCGCCCCACATCTCAGACTTTCACATCTCAAACATTTATTTTCAACATAAAAATTACACATAATTATCAAGAGTATATAATGGGAGTTCTCTCATATATAACTCTTCGTTTCTATAATGTACGTCGATGGTTGCTCATTAAAACTGACTTCTTCTCACTACCTCATTCGTGTCCTTTTTTGTGGTGAGCTACAGTGTCATTGACACTTTCATTAATATAACTATGCAAGACGCTCAGTTTGCGCACGCTACCTATAATCGTGCTAGCTCATTATAAAGGGACAAGCAAACTAAAAAAAAATAAATAAACATGGCATGCGGTGACCAGAATGAAAAGGAGGACAAAGGTTGAGAATTGTATGCGGCAAAAGGACCCAGAAAATTATGAAGGATGGTGTGCACGCTGATTGAGTATGTTTATAAGCGCTGCGTGAGTAAATCTAACCTATCGTGTGTATAACAAAAAGTAGGGTAGCAGTTGTGAATAAAATAATGTAGGACCGGGCTGAGAGGGAGAGAGAGAGAGAGAGAGAGAGAGAGAGAGAGAGAAATTCGTTTCGTATTTTCAGTATTTTTGTGTTTGGTATAAAAAACAGGTATATTTCCTATACCTGATATATATATATATAAGTCAGTATGTAATATAATACGCTATAGTTCTGCTTTTAGATGGATTAGGCACATGTACAGTATATATATATATATATATATATATATGGATGACAATATCAAAACATTTCGGTATGCGTGAGAATTAGCAGACCTGGCTGGAGTGAGAGCGTGAGATAAGCCTCAATAGCGCGAGTCTCACGCCGAATGCGTGATAGTTGGTAGGCCTGCAATCTTGAGGGAGTGACAATTCAATTGGGAGACAAAATTGCTTTGATAGCGATATCTATACCAACTAATAGGCATTTTAGAATGCTGGCCCTTCGGAACAAGCGATTCCTCTCCCGCATGCATAGATTACAACGAACAGAGCAAAGATAATAAATATAAAAATAAAAATAATTATATAAAGAATAAGGAGCCTTATTGCAAATAATCTTACAGGGACATGGGTTATGGCCTATTTTTATTTGCAACCATTACAGGGGTGAAATTAGTTATTTACAGCCCAGCCGGGGCCGTAGGTAAAGATTTTAAAGGCCGCGCATCATGATCGAGATCGGGGCCTGATCGGGCCTGGTACAGCCACCAAGGTTTAGCCAATGAAAATTCAGCCTATATCGGCTCGCATGCAAATAGAAAACGGAACAAATCTTCGTGATGCTCTCGGTGTTTATTTATCGAAGATATGATAGGAAAAGCCGGGCTGATTTCGATGTAAATGTGGCAGGTGTAATGTTATTCTGCCAATGATATAACCTGACATTATATAACCACACTTGCGAAAAGAGTCATACCTGAACAAACAGAAGCTGGCAGTTGTCTCTCCCGCAACCATCCACACAAAAGCAGAAAGCGGTTCATTTCCGCTGTTTATTATATATTACTATTACTATTAGTAGTAGCCTATAACTGTGTTTGTTATTAGCAAGATCGTATAGTGCCGGTGAGGATACGATCTTTGGT